GCATAGAGGACAGCACGATCCACGACCCACGCGGGCGCGCCGAGATGACCTGAGCGAGGCTAGGAGCGCCCATTCTACTGACGGTGGAGTTGACCCGACGCAGAGGACGCCGTGGAGGAATGTAACCAAGCCGAAGCGACGCACCAGGACACGACGGAAGGAACGGGCAGTTCGCACCAAAACACCACACCGACAACAACCCTTGCCTGACCTCCACCAAACGACCGTGCCCTTACTGCATGACCCTTCGTATTGCTGAAGAATAAAGACTAAAAACCGATGCTCACAGAGTGACAGAGAGAGAGGGATAAAGATGTATAAAGAGAGAGATGGAGACAGAGAAAGATGGGGAGGGGAAGAGAGGGAAGACGGGAAGGAGAGAGAGAGAGAGACGGGAGGGAGGGAGAGCGCGAGAGAGTGAAAAAGTGAGTGAGAGCAAGAAAACAAAGAGAGAGAAAAAAAAATTAAAAAGGTTAGTGAAAAATATAAGAAAAATAAATAAAAAGACAAACAAAAATTGAAAAAGTTAGTGAAAAAATATGAGAGAAATATATATAAAAAGACAGACAAAAAGAGAGAGAATGGGTAACAGAGAGAGAGGGGGGGGGGAAGCGAGAGAAAGGAAATTAGCGAGAAAGAGAGAACAGAAAGAAATAGAGAGAGAGATGAAGAGAATGATAGAGAAAGGGAGTGAGAGAGAGACGAAAGAAAGAAAGAGAAAGAGTGTGTGTGTTAGGGGGAGTTGGAGAAGGTAAGTGTGTATGAGAGAGAGAGAGAGCAAGGGAAATAGAGGAGAAGAATGGAAGAAGGGAGGGAGGGGGAAGACAGGAAGAGAGAGGGAGAACGTGAGAGAGAGAGAGAGAGAGATAAAGACGTTTAAAGAGAGAGATAGAGAAAGGAAGAGAAAGATAGAGAGGGAAACAGAGATAGAGGGGGGTGAGGGAAGAAGGAAAGGAGAGAGAGAGAGAGACGGAGGGAGGGAGAGCAAGAGAGAGTAAGTGAAAAAAGTGGGTGAGAGCAAGGAAACAAAGAAAGAGAAAGAACGTGAATTAGGGAGTGAGAATTAAAAAGAGAGAAAAGTAGATAAAGAGAAAGACAGAGAGAGAATAAGTATCCAGAAGAGAGAGAGTTAGGGACAGTTTGTGTGAAAGAGAGAGAGAGAGTATAAAAAGGAGTAACCTTCTACATTGCCACTGGTGGGGAAGAATAGTATACTTGAAGTGGCTTGCTCTTTATTCTCAAGAGTTTATACACACGAGTAGAAATGAACACGATACGAGACTGGTCAGTGCTGGGTGGAAACTGCGGTAACAAGCCCAGCGAGGGCACAGCCGCGCGGAGGGTGAGCGTAGGTCCGCGCGTCCGGAGGTCAGGTTGTCTCAGTGACCTGTGAGAGATCAACTTAGGTCGCTTTTATCCGACAAGTAATGGGCGGAGCGATGAGAGCGTGGCGTGTTTGTATACTTAGAATCACCCACGCACAAGCAAGCATGGCACCCACGAGGAACTACGAACCAGTCTAGACTAATAGCATGTGCCCAAGTGGTCAGTGAGTTTGTATGATGCAATATGCTATGCAGAGAGAGGAGGGAGGGAGGGGGGTAAAGAGAGAGAGAGAGAGATTTAGGGAAGTTTGAGAGATTAGAGAGAAAAAAGAAGGAAGAGGATGATGGAGGAACAGAGAGATTGAGAGAGAAAAAGCAAGTGTTAGGAAGAGTTAAAGAATGAGTTTGTGTGGAGGAAAGAGCGAGAGAAGAGTGGGGGAGATATAGAGTGAGAGGAGGAGAAAGAGAGTTAGACGGTGGGGGAGAGAAAAGATAGAGATATATACATGGATAGACCGAGCGAGAAAGAAAGTCTGAGAGAGAGAGAGAGAGAGAGAGAGAGAGAGAGAGAGAGAGAGAGAGAGCGAGAGAGAGAGAGAGAGAGAGAGAGAGAAGAGAAGGAGAGGGAGAGAGAGAGAGAGAGAGAGAGAGAGAGAGAGAGAGAGAGAGAGAGAGAGAGAGAGAGAGAGAGAGAGAGAGAGAGAGAGAGAGAAGGGATGAGGGAGAAAAGGGGAAAGAGAGAGAGAGAGGAAAAAGGGAGAGAGAGACAGGAGGGGGGGGGAGTTAGGGAAGTTTGAGAGATTAGAGAGAGAAAGGAAGAAGAGGAGGACGGAGGAATAGAGAGAGAGAGAGAGCGAGAAAGAGAGAGAAAGAGCAAGAGTTAGTTTGTGTGGTGGAGAGAGCGAGAGAAAGAGTGGGTGGGGGGGAGGAAGAGAGGGAGTTAGGGAGGGAAGATAGAGTGAGAGAAGGAGAAAGAAAGTTAGACGGTGGGGAGAGAAAGAGAAAGATAGAGAGAGATATATACGTGGATAGATCGAGCGAGAGAGAAAGTCTGAAAGAGAAGAGACAGAGAGATAATAATGAAAAATGTATCGATGTATCAATTTCTTGATTTTATTCGATACATTTTGAGAAAAATATCCTCGCGATACCGATAAAACGATAATGTTGTTAATAGCTAAAGCAATACCGATAGCAATACAAAAGTATCGATCGACACTATCGTCAATACATGTATCGCGATACTGTCTATCTCTGATTATAATAATAAAGATAATAATAATAATAATAATAACAATCATTATTATTATTATTATCATCATTATCATTATTATTTTCATTATTATGCTTATTTTTTATTATTTCTTTATTATTATTATTATCACCATCATTATCATACCATTATCAAGGAACATATAACGAACATTATGACTATTATCGTTGTTATTATTATGATTATTATGGTAGGCAATATAATGAGTCATTACAGGTCAAAACACAGCTATTAAAGAAAGAAGATATAAAATCATCAGCTAATTAGATAGCAAAGACATCGGCCGGTTTGTTAAAATTGTGCGAGGCCCGGCCTAATAAGTATTCGTATATACAGACAAGCATATACACAGAAATAAATGCATATCTGTCTATATATCTGATAGATATATGTGTATCTATCTATTTGCCCGGTTGATATGCATGTCTACACTTATTTATGCATGTCAAGTATACGAATATTCTTTGGGTTGGGCCTCGTACAATTTTAACAAACCGGCCGATAACTGAAGTTACAATAGGCCTTTTTTTCCGGCGCCAAGAGGTGTAGTACTACAGTTTCCCATGACCACCCCTATTTAAGCGGGCGGAGTCATACATGCGCAATTGCACCTGGCTGATGAGCGCGCGGAGCACGTCTGCTCGTTTTAAAACGAAGAAAATGGGAAGTTCAAAGCTGATGCTGCACTGTATGGTGCAATATTAGTAACTTTGATGATGTTAATGAGGATATTATTGCATTAAGTACTAGTTTAAAAGTATTTACGCGCGCGTGTGTATGCATATATGTATATATATTATATATATACATACATAAATGTGTACATACATACATACCTATATATACAGTATACACACACACATATATATTTAGACATATGTATACACACATGCATATATATATATATATATATATATATATATATATATATATATATATATATATATATATACATATACATATACATATATATTCATTTATGTATGTATATGTATATATATACATATGTGCAGAAATATAATATTAAAAATATACACTACTACCATATATAACAAATAAGGCCTTTTTCCGGTGCCAAGAAACTGTCTAACTCCACTGGAAAGTGTCGTTTTTTTCATTTGCGACATTCTCCGGGCCGATCGCAACAGCAACGTTGCCGATGCTTCTACGCTGTTGCCACAGGCTCCACCCCCATTCCTAGGAATTGTACTCTAATTTTGTTTTTGAATTGTATAAATTAACAAATCACTGGTTTACTGATGTAACATTAGGAAATAACAATAAATACAAGTTGCCTCCCATCATACTTCTTCATTCGTCCATCGACAATGGTTTCGAAGATCACACTTCTTTGAATATTTTGAAAATGACACTATTTATTGATTGATATCAACTACATTCAAAAGGATATATAAGTTTACGTGTGCATTTAATTATACATACATAATAAGTAAAATTATTATGTAAAACCTAATTTAAATTTTCATAATATTCTTTTGACCATTCGAACACATTCTGTAAATAAAATGAGATACTTCCCCGTATATTATTCGTCATGGAACACTTTTGGAGGCCTGAATATTGCCCGAGATGAAAGCATAAATGATATAAGAAAAACAGTAACAAGCCTTGCATGACATATCGCATAAAAAATGTACACGTACGAAAGATAAACCTGAACCTCGCTCTTCTTAGCCGTAGCCCTATTAATACGATAGCATATAAACCTAAAACTCTATATACGCAGAATGAAAGAAGAGAAACAATTACGAGTTATGTCATCTTCATAAATCCGGCTGCTCCTCTTCCTACTCAACATTACCATCATCACTTTAGAATTATCACTATTAGTGTTGCTGTTAGAGGTAACAATTATTACTGCGATCACGCTTCTGTTATGTTATTTTGTAATAATGGAAAATCTTTATTCTCATTATTAATTTGATTTCATTAATTGTATGCTTCTCATTTAAATTTATTTATTTTCAATGCATAAAGTTTCACGAGATTTTAGCAAATTTGATATTATTTTTTTCTATGTTTTTAGCTTAAACATTTACATATATATTATTTGTCAATCAGGTGATCTTGCACCCCAAAGGCAATAGTTATGAATAGTATAAACTGTCCAATGGTAATGGATAGTAAGAATAAATAAAGAAACAAGTATATAATGATATAATTCTGTAGTTTTATAAATCCAGAAGAAGACATGACATTAACAGAATGATTAAGTTGAATATGTTCATTTAGAATGAGAGAGGAATAGGGTATATGAAAACGTCAAGAAAATACATGAAAATTGTTAAGATAGGCCAGAAATAATTTCATAAGTAACTTGTGTCGAAATAATATCAAAAGAAAATTTAAGGTGAAGACGAAAAAGAAAAAGAAAATGACTCCTGAATACTGCAAGGGACAATAAATCGCACAGTGAGAGAGAGAGTGAGAGAGAAAAAAATAGGAAAGGGGAGGGGGAATCAAGAAAGAAATGTCATTTAAGAGGTAATTACCATCTAATGAACAAGATTACTGTTGTTTGTAAGTGTGTGTTCTAAATCTAATGGAGATTGATTCAAGCTTTTACTTTGTAATTTCCTTTTCATATTGTACTATATTTGCTTAATGTTAACTGTTCTTGTATTTTCATTCTTTTTCTTTTTCTCTTCCTGTCATCCACCTTTTCGTTCTTTTTAGTAACACCTGTCTTTTCAGACTTCTCTTTCTTAAGGAATCAGACCCAGGTCGAAGGAGAGGTTTCAAAGGATTGCCATTAAGAATGAATCATACAGATTTTATCTTTTCCCATACATTAAATTTGCAAATATATTACTAGGAAAAGTGTTGTACAGTTTTAATTTAGTTCCATCTTTTTGCGAGTATAATAAGCTTTCAAACTGTTCCTCATGAAATTTAATTACAGGTAATCTAAATTTAATGGTACTCATTTGCAGTGTTTTGCTTAAATGTGAGGTAATTTTCTATATTACGTCTCCCGCTCCATCATCAACAATTTTGGTATCGGCAGGGGGGAGGGAGGCTGCCGCCCCCCAACCCTCACCGAGGAAACAAAGAATCCACCACGTCTTCATGGCAGGAGAGAGCGCACACGAACTAGATGTGGAGCCGGTAACCTACCATAACCTAGGATTTTTAAGGTGATTGATAGATGCCGTTGATAGTAGGGAGGGTGCTCCTGAAATCGGTCTCGGAGTAGGAGCACCCTCTACATGCGGTCATCGCGGTGGCTATGGCAGAATACCGAACACAACGGTTATTTCGGTTAGAGATACAAATATCGTGGTTCCAGAGGACGAGAAACGGGACCTTGAGGCTAAATTCATATATAATAGATGGCGACATAGTCACTGCAGTAGCTATATGGGATAGTAACTGCTATCTATTGGCTGACTCTAATACATGCCTTACTAGTGTACGTATATCATTCCACTCCATCATCTAAGGCCATCGGTGTAGCATTGAGAGAGGCACAAAACACCCCCGACGAGGGCCGGCCACCGCTGCTCTTCTGTTCATGGTATACCCTGTCATCCTGATTATACTACAATCGTCTCTGTATACAATGCTGACTATGTCAAGGTTAATATGCTGATTCAGTGGGAATGTTACGAGGTAATTGTAATACGTCCGCTGCTCTGACATCAATGATAATTGTGTAACACTCTAGCCTGCCGTGAATATATGGTGGATGTTTTGTTTCCTCGGTGGGGTTGGGGGAGGAAGCCCCCCTCAGGGAGGGCGCAGGGGGCACATCCCCCTGCAATGGAAAGTCATGTGAATAACCATGGTTATTTTCACTGTGGGTTATATTATTAGTATTATTTAATCTCGTATTTTCCCTGGAACTTTTCATGCCCTCTCCTGCTATTGGGGCCAAATTTGTCGCTATAGGGGGGTGTCTGCACAATAAAAACTATATATTTGCAATGTGGACAGTGCTAGCAATCCAACACTACCACTTTCCAACACAACACTTTCTATATTACGTCGGACAGGCCGACGTAATATAGAAAATTACCAAATGTGATTGTATGATGGCTCTCTCTTTTTTGGTAATTTTTAAATTTCACACAACCATCCAATCTTGAATTGTTATTTCTTTACTTATTTATGCTGCAAAATGATATAAATTAAATTATTGATAATGTTTATGAAGTGACCCTATATCTGAGATTATGTTCCTATTACTCCAGCCATTCCTGGGAAATCCAGAAACATTGCTGTGTGTACAAAAAAACCTTCCTTACTCATGAGCTTTGCCCCTGAGTTAGGAATTGCTGTGGATTTCTCTTGTGGCATTTGAAGTGACCTATTTTCTTCATTTCTGATATTATTTTTGGTATAAGTTTCTTATTGCGACATGCGGAGATGGAGGGAAATGGACACTACCCTTTAATAGAGTGGAAGAAATAGAATAGGATACAACATAGTTTAAGCTGCAAAGCCCTTATAGTCACATCTAAAGGACATAAATGCACCCTGCTCCCTCCTTTTGTTTACCTTGCCAGAAATAACACATCACTGACCACATAACTCATTACAGCAACATCCAAAGTAATTCATGTGTTACTACACGCTTGTCAAAACGTTATTGGGCTAATTATCAGTGTCTGCTGTTACACATTTATGCTTTTGAAGTCTTTTATTAATGTTATTATACTTCATTTATGTATTTTAATATTTGTCTATACACTTATTTAGAATTATCTGCGCATCGTGCGTTTCACATTTTCAGACACTCGCTGCAAGGTTTGACAGTTCGGGGCCGTCATTTTGTAGCAGAACACTGGTGAGAAATGTTGTGTTTCCAGTGTTATTCTTAAGACTATACAGTTGCAACAAAGAGGAAATAGACTTTAGTAACTATCCCACTTTGATACC